ATGTGTAGTAGTATTGGATGATGAGGATGTTACTTTTACTGATCTTTCCCTCTATGAGAGAAAAAAAAAATGTTGGTGGAGATCGGCGTAATGGCCTCTGATCAATGCATTGTATCGTAGGAAATAACAACAGGATATATCACAATCTTCTGTCTCAAATGCGGTTCTTCTTGATCCAGCTACCATTTTTGGTTTGCTTCCCATTTAATTATATGTTCTATAAGTTCTTTATTGAGTCTAACTAAAAAAATTCAAGATCAAAATCATAAATTTTAGTACTTTTTCGATTCATTTTCTTGACTGTGAACTCAAAAAAGAAAAAACAATACAAATAATGTATGGCATCAAAATATTCTCAATGTGCTATTTGATCCTTCTTTTACTTCAAAGAGTGAAACTGGGCTACTTTCATGATTGAGAACTAATGGAAAATTGTGCCTTTTTGTTTGTTGGCCGTGGATGGTATAAAGCTTTCAAAAAGATAAACAAAATGAATATGGAACTATGGAAGTACTAATATTTAAAAATGGATTGAGAAATTTATGATATATTTTTTGTGTTTTATTACCATACAATTTAGGATGGAGTTTCATATCTCTCGTCAAAACTACTATTCAATAATATCTATTTGATATGAAGTGCACTAAAATTTTCGTCTGGGACGCCAAATGGATGAATAACGTTCTAATCTACGTAACGGATGAAAAAAGTCATTTGATTCACAATGACACTTGTTCTGTTTCCATAAAAAGATACTTCGAAATTGCGTGATTAAAATGAACTTCAATCGAGTATCTTACACCATTTAATGTTTGTGTGATGAGGAAATTAATTTTCATTTTATTTGTATCGTTGGATAACAATTTCACTTTTTATGTTTTGTTTATAAAACCCATGCTTGTTTTGTTTTTCTCCCGATGTCATTGTCACATTTTTTTAAGTACACCTTTAAATGCATAGTTAAGTTTCAAGAAGTTCTTGTATGCAAAGATGAAGGTACACGGTTTAATGTGTTAAAGTACCTATATCCAATAAAAACGTAGTGAGTTCGGTTCAAATCCCACCACCCGAGATGTCGTACAAACAAAAGAAAGAGAAAAGCCAAAGTTGTTGTATACCTTTTTACATATTTTGAGTGGTAAGATAAGAATTTAAAAGTAGAGAGAGAGAGATGGGAGTGGGAGTGGGAGTGGGAGTGACAGAAGGGCACCATCTGAAGGTGACGGGTGTGTGAGAATTGAAGAGAAGATGATAAGAGAAGCTGCTTCTCACGTGGATTCTCACCATGTTATCAACTTAGGCACGTGGTGGATGATCAGCACCTGCCCAGCACGTGGCTGCCATCTTCTCCCCCACAAATAATTGTTAATGGAATACAGCATCATCACATACACTACAAACGGAGTGGAGCAACACAACACAACTTAACTGCAAGCTTCATGTAATGCTGTGCGTTTCAAATTACTGTTCTTTTTTCAATTGGGTTTGAATAATACTTCCAAAATTATCTCCATCCTTAACGATATTTCTTATTTATTATTTTCAAAGTCATATACCAAAACATACCATTCAAATGTTCTAATTTTACCATCATATTACGAGTTTATAGAAATATATAGTTGAATAGGATGATAAACATTAAATTTATTAACAACAATAAATTGCCCATTATTTAGCTAGTAAATTATTTGGGGTAATATTTAACTAGCAAAGCTCTCGTAAATATTGAGATTATAAGGGATTCATAAGTTGAAAAATAAAGTGTTAATACTCGTTATCGCGGCTGGGAAGTTAAATATCTGTTGACATGTTCATATATAAATATCAACAAAATATCACTAATATGACATAATATTAATATTAATCCTCCTTAGCTTATTTAAAAATGGTAAAATGCTTATTTGTTAAATAATTTTTTTTTTTTTATGAATTTTCTATTTTTATATCTTGACATTGATATCTTATTGATATCCCATTGATATTAATTTTGACGAAATTAAAGCCTTGACATTTCTAACAAGATTGATATTTTTAAAAACCTTCATCACAGCATAGAAATTAAAGCCTTATATTTCAAGGTAATCCAATTACACTATATCATCACTTTTCCAGCTTTAATGTAAGAAATAGATTTCATAAACTCAATCAATAGGCTAATAACATGGATGATAAAGTTGAGTGAGTTAAGTTAATAACAACGATTAGGACCTTGGTCTTAATCAATTATTTTGTATAAATGTCAAAATTAAAACACGACAAATTAAGGTGTTTCAATGAAGCAAAAATTTGACTAATGTTAGGGGGAACTTTGAATAGTCCTCCGACTTCGGATTTATTGCATCTAATGACAAAGTCTTGAAGCTTCGGATTTCTTCAACTTTGAATAGTCAAGTTATAAGATACATTTGATTATGGGACTTTTACTAAGCTAACAATTTAGCTTTTATATTTTCATTAAATTAACGATTTAATTCATAAACTTTAATTTGTAACGATTTATTCTCTATATTAAAATTTGTAACAATTTAGTCTCTATCATGAAAAATTTTATTAAAATTAAGTATCAAGTTTTGTACTATAACAATTTAATATTTAATATTTATAAATATACTTGGTCCTTCGTTGGTTTATCAATCTATAGATATAGGAAACTTAACAAGAAAAGAGAAAAAATTTACGATGAAGACTAAATCATTATAAACTTTAAATTACAGGGACTAAATTATTACATATTCAAATTTGAAGATTAAATTGTTATCAATTTGAGAGTACAATCGTTACAAATTAAAGATCATGGACTAAATTGTTACTTTAGCCAAAGTACAAGGAACATAAGTATTTTTAACCTTTTTTTGTTTTATGTGCTTGGACGAACTTGGTTTTATCCCTTTTTTTTAGTCCAATATTTGTTTTCGAAGTAGTATTCAAACCTGTTTCAAATTTATGTCCAACGTTTTCATTTAGTAAGTTACAACACAATCATGTTATAGACTACACTTAATTAGTAATTAAACCCAACAATGGAACACTACTAATAATAGTAGCTTTAATGATTTTTTTGTCCTGATTAATGATGTATTCAAGTTTTATTTTTTAAAAATTTACATGGTTTTTATTTCTACAAGAATCGTATGGATATTAATAGGAGATCAAAACAACCATGGCCAACCTTAGTTCAACCATGGACTCAAAAAATATAACAAGCCATGCTAGTTGATTCTCTCACTCAAACTTAGAAGTGAGAGTGTAAGTCCAAAACCTAAAAAACTAAAATTATTCCTTAGTAGGCATTCAGATCGCATGGTGAAGTTAGTTAAATCTAGAATTGTTAAACATACAATCTGGAGTTTTTCTTTTTTTAATAAATTTTCAATTAATTTTTTTTATGTCATTTATATTTTTTTTAAATTTAATTAAAGTTTGGAATTTTTTTTTTAAACCGAAACATAAAATTGAGTTATAATTCATATAATCTATAAAAATTGAAAATTATATACTAGGAAATGCCGACACACATTTTTGGTGAAGTATGGAGTATCAGACACATGTCTGACATGGATACGCTTGACACGTGTCACGGAGATGACAATTTTGTGGGTTTTCTGGGTCCAAATAAAAGGCCCAATGCCCATTACTAATTAAAAAAAAAAAAGTTAATCTACGCTGTTTTAGAAACTTATTTTCACAAATATCTAAAGTTTTTCAAAGTTTACTTACATTTATATTTATTATAGTTGTTTTATTTTTTGGAATCTAAAAGATTTAAATTCTGAGATTGTAAACCTAATCATTTAATTATTGTAGACCCATACTAATTTTCAACCGTAATCCCTTAATTCACCCCTAAATTTTCTTATCACGATTTATTCTCAAAATTTTGCAATATTAATTACAACCTAGATTTACCAATATTAATTACAAAAAGATACAATATTTTGTTAGTTGGATAAGGAAATTATAGAAATAAAATACATCCGGATATAAACTTATTTGGTGACATTAACATAGAAAATGCAATCAAATACAATTACAAGATAAACCTATAATATAAATATAAAATATATCTATATGATATTCAAAAGTAGAAAAAGGTTTTTCCACTTCACTCTAATAAGTTTCCATAAACATTTTCATTGATGTTTTTATGATTAAATCAATCAGCCAATTAGTTCGATAGTCTAACTATTATCCTCATGGAGGGCTTACTAGGATCATGGGAGTTTTAGGAAGATAGAAGATTCATTATAACAGCATTAATGACCTTAGTGATCCTCACAAGTTCTATATCTGAAAAATTATGAAGTTTTAACAGCGGTGAAAGCAAATCTCTTTACCTATTCCTTCTATACTAATTGGATATTTGAGTTTATGTTTTCAACTTTTGCTCATCTCCATTATGCGTATAAGATACTATCTATATTTTATTATCCGAATATAATCTTTTACTATTGCATATGAAATATACCTCAAGTAACAAACAAAGTTCAAAAGACTCTATCAAATATACCTCGAGAATTGACCAAAATATTCTACATGAGAATTTCTTATTACATCTTCATATATACAATCTGAGGCACCCTACAAGAATAAGTTAATCGGTACCAAAATAATTAATCTAAAGGGTTACACCGTAAAAAAAATATAGAGGAAAACAAAAACCAGTACAAAATAGAGGGAATATTGTTCAAAACAACATTGATAATATATACGGGTATTAAAAATATACCATTGTGAAATCAACTAATACTTTTGAACGGAGTAAAGGCGAAATCGAACACAAAACAAACATTCATTTTATTATAAATGGTGAGAAGGTTGACAGGTGGCCGACGAGCACACGACGAATACAGATGGTTCAAAAGTATCCGTAACTAAGGAGCCTTCACACAATGGGCTGCTACGGGCGAGTGAATGCAGCAAACGAACGGAAAAAATGGAGGTTGGGGAAGAAACGACTCGAGAATGTGGTAGAAGAAGAAACGTTTGTAGAAGGAATTTGGGTGGGATTAAGAAACGGAAAGAGGATTTTTTGGAACTGTCGGCTCAAGGAAGAAAGAAAAGATTTTTTGGATTTGGGTGAGATTATTTGGGTATTTTTTTAATTTTGGGAAGTTTAAATCATCGGGATTTAAATTCTTACCTACCAACTAAACCATTTTGAATTTCATAAATCTATTAATATTTGAGTGTAAATAAAAAAGATATAAAGATAAATTATTTATGAGTAAATGAGATTATTTTATGATTAAAGGGTAAATTTTGTACCTTTGAATTCTTTTATATAGTTATATTCTCTAAGTAGACTATATTAAAAAAAATTAATAAATGATAAAAAACCTAATACCCATCCACGAAAACAAAACACACCACCCACTCCATGAAGCCGACGCCTCTGCACGCCTTTTTTGCCGCCTATTCCGATGCCGACGCCGTCGCTCGCCATTGCTGTCGTCGCCGACGCCTACGCCGCCCCTACCTCTGTTTTCTTTTTTTCTTCCTAAGTAAACTCTAATAACATAACTTTTTTTTTCTAACCCTCTGTTTTTCTTTAATTTTCATATACTAAAAACAATTCTCTTTAACGTTCCTTTCTTTTTTTTCTTTTTTTCACAACTTTGAGTAAAACATATTTTTTTGTTGGTGCGTTTTGTTTCTGTCCTTAGTCTTTATTTATTCTTTTTTTTTTCTTCTTGTTTTATAAATTTAATTATACATATTGAAATGGTATAAATCCAAAAATAAGATTATTGAAATCATATTTATGAAGTTCAGTATATTTAGTATTTTTTGTGTTAAATTTACCTATATTATATATCTTAAAAAAATATTTAAAAAAAAGTATCCCAACATGTTCGTGTCCTTATCACTGTCCTATCGTGTCCTAATTTTTTTTAGGTATTAACGGAAAATATTGTTTTAGGGTTATGTTTCTTACGCTGACGCATAGTAAGCAGAGTCGAAATTAGGTTGTGTTGGTGCGGAGATTACCAAAAATTGGGTCAATTGCTTATTCAAAGTACCCGCCCTCGATTCTCGCTAGCTCCAGCCGCTCTCTCCTCTTCTATCGTCATCTCACACTCACTCATTCTTATTACAGCTTGAAAATTTGGTGATAAATTCACTCCGGGCTCGGAGGTGAGAAAACTTCAGCTTCATTTCTTCTCTTCACAACTTGTTCTGTCATTATATCAGTCTTACAAGAGTCTTCAGATATGGGGTTTTTTCCTTTTCGCCCAATTATCTGTTTTAGTTTATGGGGTTTGTGGCAGGAACTATGAGGGAAATCGTGACTATTCAAGTTGGAGAATTTGCGAACTTCGTTGGTTCTCATTTCTGGAACTTTCAGGTAGAGCCCTCCCTGTACCACCATATTCTCTTCTAATACGTGTGTATTGCGATTACTCTGTTCTGATGTCTTTTTTTTTTCTCCGGTATATTGGTTGGATTGATACTGGTAATTTGAATTCCCAAGTATTGAGCATAGCTTCTTCTTCAAGTGTTGTTACTTGAATGATTCCCAAGCATTGGAATTTTAAGTTGCTTATTTAGAATTTATGCGAAATTTGTTCATGCGAAGCTAAAATTTACTTCGATCTTTATGGAAGGATGAGTTGATTGGCCTGGCTGCGGACCCTCTTGGAGATGCTGTGTTTAAGAATCAACATCTTAACATGGACGTACTCTACCGTTCTGGTGAGACACAACAGGTGGAATATTTGACATTATGTTGTAAATGAAGAAAGTTATAGGATTTTCACTTCACATCTCACACTATAGTAACCTTACTAATCAACACACAATGTGGTAACCCCCATCCTTCCAGTTAATGTAACTGAATATTATTTCTATGTTTACATTATCTATAATTATTCATGCTTGCTTCTTAATCATGGAGCAGATGATGGTATTGTCCCAACCAACTACACGCATTGAGTTGATGCATATTTGGATTGTTTTTGCTAGGTTTTTTCTATCTTGAGTAACTTTCTTCACTAATGGAGCTAATATTCTGTATTTTGTCCTTCTGTTTCATCTTTTCTTCTGAATAATTTGCAGGGTGTACTTACATATACGCCACGTCTAGTTTCAGTTGGCTTCAAAGGTATCTTTCTGTAATCAATGCTTATGAGTAACTTTTATGTGATTTATTTACTCCTAGGTATTAGAGAGGTCTAATGATGCTAATACAACTTTTGAGTTGCTAACCATCCTCCTGGTTCTCCATTACATAAATTACTTGCTTTTGCATTCTTCAGCTCATGATGTGTTATGATTGCTGAATATTCATTTTTGGCTGTGGCAAGATATTTTGTTTTTATAATTATTCTTGCTTCATTTAAGTTTGTATTACTCTTCTTGTCTTTAGAGAATGAAAATGGATTCTCTTCTTTACATAAATTGATTGAGTTATAACATGCAGGAGGCTTAGGATCTGTTAGTGCACGTGGCACTCTATATAATGACGATGCATATACACCGTCAGATGTCATTACATGGTGAGATTATCAATATTAGAGATTTTTATTCCTCATATTTCAAGAAATCCGTCACTATAATCCATTAATGTGCATGCATATGTGTATTCCCATTTTGTTCCACTTACATTCATAAGATATATGGGAGATAATTGTTCTCAATTGATTTCTCTAGCTTGCTTCAGAAGTTCCTAGATTAATGGCTTTACATTGCTCTTAGGCTGGTATCAGCGTGTTGATAGATGCATATGTGTTTATGTAAGAAGAAAAGTGCAGACTTTTAAGAATATGCTTACTTTATGAATTGACTTCTTATTATTTCCAGTATTGCAATGAGGCAATGAACTTTGGATACTGTGTAAAATTTCCTAGATTTAGTCTTAATACTTAGTTATTTATAGATGTATATCATAATGATCTAGGTTAAATTTTGTTTCTTTGATCAAGCTATGCACCATCTGGTTTGTAAACTTCATGTATTGAAAGCTTCATTATCATGATCTAATTTTGAAGTGTAGTATTGAAATATATTTATGGTGCTTGAAGAAATTGAATATGTATTTTATATTTTGCAGGCGTGGTAATGTTTCGACTCATAATACTGAGCCGCTTAAGAAAAATTTGTTCTTGCAAAGTTTATCTGAAGAAGAGCAGGAGAACTCAATGAATGGAAAAAATAGTGAACAGGCTACTTCTAGAATAGAAATTCAGGACAAAGATATAGTTGAATGTCTAGAAAAAGATGTCACCTTTTGGACAGACTTCTCAAAGGTTCACTATCATCCTCAAAGTTTATATCAGTTAAATGGATTGTGGGTGGATGTTCAGGAGTTCGACAATTATGGAATTGGAAAAGAATCTTTTTCTTGGAGTTCGCAACGTGAAGATATCGATGAAAGGCTTCGTTTTTTTGTGGAGGAATGTGACCATATCCAAGTACGTGTTATTAGAATTAATTTTAAATGAAATGTACCAAATAGTCACTTAATTTTCTTCTTCAGATTTCCCAGCACCCCAAACTTTCCTTTCCCCCATACTGGCATCGGGTCTTATGAATAGGATGCACCATCTCTTTGTTTTGTTAAAAGCTTTTATTTCTTGACCTCACCAAGGGAATGCGATCCTTTCTTTTTTCTGCATGATTGCGATGTGTGCAAATTTTACATCCTGGTGGATTGTTGTATTAAAGGTGTGGAATCTCCTAGAACATTTAAAGTTTCAAAATTTTGGGCACTATTTAGGATGAATTTGAATGAATGATATAGTATGTAGATACTTTAGATTCCTTTTCTTTGCGATGATATAAGTTATAACTATTTGGAATGAAATGGACATTCTAGTTGAGGGAGCCATTGCTCTTAGCAAAATCATGAGTGTCCCTTTTGTCTTCATCACTATCATATCTTTTTTTGGTGGCAGTATAGGGGGTGGGGTTCGGATTTTCCATTACTTGAACTGAGACGTTTGAAAATTGCACTGCTGTATCATATTTATTAATTTCATGGTCAGATAGAACATTGAATCGCATCAACCTCATTTGATAACCATTTTATCTTTTGCTTTTTATTTTTGAAAATTTAGCTTGTAAATACTACTTATATGTAATGTAATGTGAAAACACACCTACTAAATTGTGAGGAAGCAAAGCATAAATTTTTAAAATAGAAAAGTAAAAATGATATGGTTATCAAATGGGGCCTTCATTTTTATTCATTTTCTATCCTGTAGTGGAAACTTCCTATGCCATAGGTCTTTATTGTAGGCAAGCCTTAATACCCAATATTCTGGATCCTTTAATACAAAACTTGATTTAGGTTGGTGGTTGTACTCTTCTTCCTGTTTTAGTAATGGTCTTGTCTTTATCCTTATAGGGTTTTCAGTTCATAGTCGACAACTCAGGGGGGTTTTCTGCAATAGCTGGGGATTTTCTCGAGAATGTTGCAGATGAATATTCAAACACCCCAGTTTTACTTTATAGTGTTCGAAGTCCTGGTTCTTATAGCATGCAACGTGAAAATAAGAGGCAGACAGTTTCTAGAAATCTTCATGATGCAGTTTCGTTTGCAAGACTATCATCTTTCTGTCAGCTCTTTGTGCCAGTTGGTTTGCCAAGTTTGAGTAGAAGTATGTGCCAATTTTCTGGAAATTTTTCTTATATTATTGTCTTTGTATTTTCTATGTGACATCGCATGGCTGCTTGGAGTTTCGAGATTGCTTCGGATACAATTCCTTTTTCTCTTTCATTGTCAAGATATCGATCATGAGTAGTTGCTCCTTTCTTTGGATGATAAATGTAAAAGTTTTATTTTTTTCTGTCTTGATAGAGGTTTTCTCCTCTTAAAATATTGAATGTTCTACCCAAATATTTCTTTTTCGTATATTTTTGATACAATATTGATCATCATTGTAACAAATATCAAGGCAAAGCTATCACGCATCTCTGCATTGACGACCAAAAGCCTTACCACTGTAGTGCTGTATATGCTGCTGCTTTACACTCCATTGGTCTTCCTTTACGAATGGAAGCCCATGGACCAACCGCAGATTCATGCTATGTTTCTGGTGCAGTTCATATTAATGACATGGTACGGATGTTATCCGGGCAAGGTAGGCAAAATATGGTGGCCATTTTGGATGTTGCAATGCCAGCACCCTCTCTTTGTGGTATATACTCTTCCATTTTCTTTTACTTGCAAAAAAGAACTTTTCATCATCAGTCACAGGCTTCTGCAATCTGTAATACAGGAAAACATTTGGATCAACCGTTGTTGGGAAATTTGCAGCCGTTGACCCCGGAGGTAGCAGAGGATGCAGAAGATCCGCTGGCATTGGAATCCATGACTGTACACGGAGTGTTTGGATTAGGTATTACATTAAATAATCACCATGTCAAGATACACTAATTCTGTTGTTGAAGATGTGCCTTCAAACTATCATGTTTAGAAGTTCTGTTTTGAAGGAAAATAAATAAACATGTTGGAGTTTTCTCGTTCTAACTCGATTTTACTTCTTTCAGGAGGGGATCGGGCTTCAGTCCCCGAATTAAAGGATCAAATTTGTGCTGCCTATGAAGGTTCAACAGAAAGGCCAATGCTCTGCCATCTATCAGCAACTCAATGTCCTCTGCCAATACCGTTGCCTTTTCCTTCAATCTTTGGCAACCTGGTTGGCCAACATGGTGAACTGTTGGCCACTCCAATCTCTGGTGCTTCATCAAGGGGATCCCTTGATGTACATTCCATCCCCATGGCAGCTCGGCTACGATCCAGCAAGGCTATCCTGCCATTTCTAGAGAGAAGATTGACAAATCTTCTCAGACATGGAACTGCACAAGGATCATCGGCAGCCTCATTGCTTAGGAATTGGGGGTTTGGAAGAGAGGAACTAGAAGACATGGGAGAATCGGTTTCGAAAATGGTTTTGGCCCTAAATCCACATTCCCAATCGTCGTCTGATTCTGATTGAGGTATGTATAACTGATGGATTTAAAAATGTAGTAACTTGTGAAAATGGGGTTGTAGAAGTCTATCTGTATTTGTATGATTAAGTGCATATGAGAATTGGTTCTTGTGTCATTTTGCAAATCTTGAGGTGAGCGAAGGAAGGTCAACTGTGAAGATGCCTGCTGTTTTATTGGAGTATAGGTAATTGTTGTTCTTGGGTCTTTCTTGTTCTTTTAAAATAAAAAATGCTAGATTAGAATTAGAAAAAAAAGTTGCTGTTTCATTGGTCTTTTAAGAACAAAATGATGAAGAGATGCTCGAAAGCTTGACGAACAAGCGAAAAAAGAAAGCCCTAACTATTTATTTGAGTAAAGGGCTTTTCTAAGTTAATGGAGAGTTTGTTAATTATTGGTCTGGCAATTTAAAGATCTGTAGAGAAATATAAAATTTCTAATGTCGTCTTGTATGCAACATGCTGGGTGGTGGTAGATTATTTTGTTTCATTGCTTTGTTTTCCCCTTCTTTCCTTGTACGCCACTTTTTTTCCTTTTTTTTTTTTTTTGCTTTTCTATTTTCTGAAAAACAAAAATCAAACATATTTAATAAACTACATTTTGTTTTTTGTTATCAGAACATTAGAGATTGTTTAATGATAAACCTATATTATTATCAAATTATATTTTCACTTTTTTGGTTATAATTATCAAGTATAATTTTTTAAAGATAGCTTTCTATTTTTATTATTTACAAAATAAAAGAGAGATAAAGTGAAAAGAAAAAAACATAATGGGCACTTTTTTCCCTAATCATAAAAACATCGCTCTTTTATTATAGTTATATTAATCCATCAATGGTAGGTCAAGTGAGTATAACTCAAGGGTTTCTCCAATTAAGAGGTTGTGAGTTCGATTTCTACCTTTAATTAAAAAAAAAAGTTTGGATAGAGTTGACTGGAAGTATAAAAAGAATACCAACATGAATAAAAATTAAATTAAAGGTTGTAGAAGTAGATTGAAAGATGTCAATTTAAGTATAGTTTAATTGGTTAAAATGTATACTATTCGAGGAGATTTACATGGATTGAAAGATTAGTGACTTGTTCAAACTATAAATGCTTTAGATGACCTTAGGATTATTGTAGGGAGACGTCCTAAACATAACAGCTAAGTTTTGGAACGATAATTGGTCATCAATCAATTTTTAAATTGTGCTGTTTTTAATTATTATTATTATTATTAATTTATTTATGTTGAGTTTGGAATGGGGTTTGTCAATATGGTTAGACTAAAATGGACCTTGACTTTGCCATCTTCCTTTTAGACCCTCTAGAACCGATTCCTATATTAATTATGAAAAACTAAATTTCTCAAGCAATTTTTTTTTTTTTTATAGGAGTGGGAATTCGAATTTTCAACATCATATTATGCCGTAATCTGCTAAAGCTATGCTCTGGTTGCTGAGTAATTATTGTAGTTGAGTTCAAATAAATTAACTGGAAAGTCATTGTTTTAGTTTCTATCGATTTTACTTGAACTCAATTTGGTTTTTATTATTTTAAAAGTTGCCAATTTTTCTGTTTCTTTTGTATTTTGATCTCACTCTATTTTGGTTTTTTATTTACTTTGATAGAAGGCCGTGAGATCTCTCTTTTTCTTTGCAATATAGCATCAAATAAGAAAGTTGTCAACCATTAATAAATTTAGAAATATTTTCACAGATTAAATTGAAACCGAATGCAAATGATAAGGGTTTAAAGATAGTAATTCAAAGATTAAAAAAAAAAAAAAAAAAGACAGAAAAACAAATGCACGATCTGTGGGTCTCTTCAGGAACTAGAATAACAGTTGGACACCTGAAATTTAGAATCCGCAGCAATTGGGTAAGTCTTTATTGAAAATTATGTAATTTATAAGTTGACCATCGAACTCCACACCCTCCCCTTAATTTTTGGGTAAATTCTGCTTTTTTTTTAACTTAGTTTTCCTCTCATCTTCCAAGTTTTAAAATTAACATTTTTTATTACTGAGATTTGGATTTAATTTCTATTTAGTCTTCAAGTTTACTTTTAGTTTCTAATCTTTAAATTTTGTTTATGTTTGGTCTCTATCACTTTCAAAGTGATGCTTTCAATCCTTGAATTGAGTTTGATTATTGATTGACTTTATGAAACATAGTAGTTAACATGTTGACATTAATTTTTACCTTATGTTATTGTTATTATTTTCAATCCAATTGAAGACATTTGTGAACTTAAAAATGATATTGATAGAATGATTGTTTAAATCATGTGGTATGAATTTCATAATATATTTTTTATGACATTGTCATTTGGGATTAGTCATAGTGGTTAATGACTTCTAATATATAATTTTTATCGTGTTCTAGCCTTTAAACTCCTAAATTTTACATTTGGCAATTACAAAAAAGTTACAAACTGTTTATTTAAGAATCCTTTTGTTTAACTTTACTGTCTCGTAGTTTAATTTTATAAAAAAAAAAATTAATGTTGACGAAATTAAATATGACGTAATCTCTTTATTGATGACGTCATAATACTGCTATTGATGATCATTATAAAAATGACAAAAATACACATAAATTTTTTAATATATTATTGACAATAATTATTGATTAAGATTATCCTACTAAAGTCAGCCCATAAAGGAAATCCGAGAAGATCCCAACATTAAAAATATATATATTTTGTAATATTAAAAAATATTTTTATAAAGGTGTCGTTTCCCAAAATCCTCTCATATGTTAAAGATTTTATATTTCAGGAAGACTTCTATCTGCAAATTGTTTACAATTTTTATACACGAATTCATTGTACCTAATCTATTAAAGTAAGGAAATTATATTCAAATTGAATTATAAAAAAAGGCTTAATTGTATTTTGATTATAAAATTAAGTATGTTTATGAAGTCTTCGAGTAAGACGATTAGGACATCAAAGCAATCATGTGCCGGCAAAGTCCATTTTAATTTTGGGTCAACGAAATTAATTTTATTCCATATTTTCTAGTTAAGCGGTTGTTCTAGAATATTTAAAAGCAAAGTGATTGTTCTAGTTCATCTTTATGTTATGGTATTTATCAAGTAAGAGTTTGACATAAAATATTTAAATAAGAAAAGCTTTAGATCGGATTTATGTTGCAATGCTAATTTGAGTAAGTTCAACTAATTAAGTCAGTTATCTTCAACCAAAAAGAAAAAAAAAATCAATGAATTCGGATTCTTGTACCATATATTGTATTTAAAAAAATTGTGTTGTAATTTTCTTTTCCTTTTTATTAGATTTCTATTACAATTACTATCAGCAACCATTAATATCAACAAAAGTTCAACACACACCAAAAAAAAAAAAAACCAATCTTTGCAGTATTTCTCTAAAATTCTGTCAAATTTGTGTCCATCTTTGTTAGTAAAAAGAATTTGTAACAATTATTGAGTTTGTGGAAGGATGTTGACAGGTAGATAATTAAATTTTAAAACATAACGAAATAGATTACACAGAGATTAGCAAAATATTAAATTGTAAATTAAGACCAATGAAGGAAAAGGAAAAATATTGTGAAAACACAAGGAGACAAAAAAAGAAAAAAGAAAAAAGGTTTGTTCTTTGTTTGTGTGTCAAGTCTGTGAGGGTGGAGCTGTGATGGTGTGTTTGTTTTGACTTTGTTAGAGAAGAGAAGAGGGGGGCAAAAGGGGGCCATTATTGACCTCTCAAAATGGAGAAAACCAAAACCTTCCCGTTTGGTGTGGAGGGACGTTGCAAACCGTGTTCTTATTTTTGTTGTTTCCTTCGGCTCTCTCTTTTCTTCAATCCCTTTCTTCTTCTTCTTCTGCTTCTTCTTCCTCTGTCATGCCATTCCCTGTTCTTCATAGATTACAATGATTGATCGCTCACCATGCGTTGGTTCCGTAACATCTCCTTTTCCCCCTCCTCCACGCTGAAGAGTCCCGGCTCTACCACCGCCGCCGATTCTGACGATCATAATTATCGGGGGGTCATTTGGCGTTTTGGCGCCTCCAAGTATTCCCGCCGTAAGAAGCTTCGTAATCTAAGCGGACGTGAGGGCCCTACTGCTTCTCTCGCTAAATGGTCCGATTCTGCCCCCTCCGAAGCGGCGACCTTGTCGCGATCGCCCAGTACCTCCGACCATGCCGTGCCCTTGCCGCTTCCGGAGACTTCTCCACTCTTTCAGCGTCGTGAAGGGAATTCCAATTCCAATTCCAATTCTGGAAGTGGAGACGTGGACTGCCCTCTTCCGTCTCCCAAGGATAGGCGTGGCAGAGGCGGGGAGGAGCGCGATGTAGATAGAGATAGAACTCCCCCTGCTCATAAAATTGGGGGCGGGGCCTTCACAAACGCTCCAATTAAAAGGTACCCCAGCTCACCACTTGTAATGTTAAGTATATGGTCTTTGATGTTTTTCCCATTTCCCAGTTATGCTCATAGCTTTATGACCTTCACGTCTCTGTTTCTATATTTAATACAATTGGTAGCTATCGTAGGTGTATGGCTTAGGATTTTATAAAGGATGGCACTCAATTATGTTTTTCCAACCCCTTCGCTAGAATCTTAATGTTTATTCGTGCATTGGTGTGTCAAAAGTGTAGGGGAAACTTTGTAATCTGTACAAGTGTTACAACTGCTGTGTTGGTCATATGCTTCTCGTCTCATTTATGTTTATTGTATCATGTTTGTGTTTCCATGATAACTTTGTTTGTGTTATTTTGACCAACACCTGCTTGTAATTTACTGAATCAGTGTATTTGATTCCCGGGAGAGGCAGAAGAAAGAAGATCATTGTGAGACAAGGTCATCTACGAGGGCAAATCAAGATTCGAGAAGATACCCTGAAAAATCTCGAAACAGTTTTAGGATTGATGTTCCCAGTAGGAGTGCTCCTACTAGTCCTTTTGCAAGTCCTGCACTCAGTCCCCCAAGAAATGGTTCTGGAAACCTTTCAAATTTTCATTATGTGGCTCCAGCAGGAAATCAAGGATGGTCTGCTCCTGAACTGCCAAATTTTCATTATGGGCCTTCAGTAGGAAATCACGGCTGGTCTGCACCTGAGCTGCCATCGTCAGCAATGATGCGAGGAGTTCCTCCTGCATTCTTTGATGGCTGTGCTCTTAGCTCTGAGAGTTCTCCCATGCAGAGCCCAACAGGTAGAAGTCCCCACCAAGATGCCAGAAGTCCAACCGGACCTGCATCTCCATTGCACACCAAGCTATCCCTTGAAACACATGCTGCACGCCGTGAAAGTTCTGGTCATGTCAGTGTCCACCCTCTACCTCTTCCTCCTGGAGTACCAATGCCTTCACCATCAACCTCAATGCCTTTACCATCAACCTCTATACCGTCGCCATCAATCGCAATACCTTCCCCATCAATCGCAATATCTTTGCCA